GTTAAAAACGATGTCCGGGCTTGCGAAAATTTCAACTTCATTTTATTATTTGGGGGACGAGGTTATAAAAAGGCTGGGCATCACTGACAAGGATTCACTAACTTCGATTTAAGCTTTTAATTATAGCCATATTGAAAAAATAGGTATTGAACTAAAATATTTTAAAACTTATTGAAAGCAGTTGTAATTGACTTATCAAACAGTGCTCGTATTGCACGTCAAGTATTTGTTTACAAAACCAGTATATTCGAAAACTTATGACGGTTTCGATTGGTAAATCTGGGGAGACTTTTTTAATCAAGTTTCACTTTTAGTGCAATTTTCATTTTCAATTGGTAAATCTGTATAACACTCGAGATTAATTTATAACACTTGAGATTAATTTATAACACTTGAGATTAATTTATAACACTTGAGATTAATTTATAACACTCTAGATATTTTGTCAGAGTAGCAAGATTGCCCTAAAATTACAGCTGTTTTATATGACAACAAATAAATTATGATTTGATTTGATATAACATATTTGATATATATAAAAAATATAAATATCTACTAAACTAAATAGATCTTAGATTACTCTTAAAATTGTTTGATTGGTTCGTGCCCAATTTGACAGATTGAAAATAAATCTAGATTGGATCCAGATTTACCATTATCGAATGCATTTAACACTACATTATTAAATAGCCCTTATATTGAGAATATTTGTTCTTCCTCTTTATTATAGGATTAAATCCTATTTTGTTACAACAATTGAATTGGATATATTTATGTAAAATTATGATATATGAGATTATCGTGTTCATGTCCATGGTAAGAACATTTCAAAACTTATTTAATGCAATTATCATTGACTCATCAAACAGTCCTAGTACTGCTTGTCAAGGAAATGTTCACATGATCCAAATATCACTCCAAATCCATATAAGATTTGGAGTAAGTGTTTTTCGTATTAGGATTTGGATTTTGCAAAGAATTACTTGGCAGATTCTATTTATATATTGCATACGCATTGGTACAGACTGAAATTGGGATATTTCAATAAGAAATTTTTCAAATAGAATTTCCAATTAAAAAATATTATTAATTTACTATTTTTATTTTTAATTAATTTAAAAAATATATGGGAATGACTCATTGCCAAAGTAACTGAAAGGAACAAAACCTTAGTAACTCACGATCTGAGGTGCTTTTGCGATGAAATAACTCAACTTGTTTGGCTAGAACGAAAAGCAATTCGTTGGGCACTTTTTCCACCAAAAACGTTAAGAGAAACGCTCAGTGAGCGAACGGCCGATCTTACCTTGTGCCTCGATGATGTCGAGAAGAGTGCACAATACAAAGTCAGCACCTCCGCACACCGCCGAGCACACACAGAACACGCGAACGGTGTACTCGTACGGCATGTACCGCTCAGATACAAAATTGGTTTAAATGTTGTTTGTAACTCGCCGAGTGTGGCTCGAAGCGCGGACTTTACTTCGATAAAGTTAGTTTAAAAATTTCGTAAAAAAAAACTAAAAACTAAAATACAAAAAAAAAGTGAAATATTTGTAAAATAGCTTCACTCTGACATGTGAAGGAAAGGAAATAATAAAATATCTTCGCTAATCGTAGTTACATTCGCATTTTCGCATTGAAATATGAAATGTGAAACTTTTACTCTAAATACACGCCGTCAAGCACGTACTTTAAAATAAATAAGTGAAAATCAAAATAAACATAAAATACTCATATTATAGTAAATATTTTTACTTGTTTTTGAAACATACAAAAACTGTTGTTGTACAACTACAACAAAAAAAAACACAATTATAAAAACAAATAACAAATAAACGCAGATACAAAATACAAAATTAAAGATATAAGATACAAGATACAAGATACAAGATACAAAAGATGCACAACAGTGTGCGTTCCAACTCAAATATCTGTTGGGAAACTAGTTTTAAGCCTTTTCTGAAATCGTTTGTCTGTGAGATTGTGTGTGTGTGTGTGTGTTTTTAACTCAGACTCGAGTTTGTGGCTATAACCGAGAAAGAGTCAGTCAAATGGGTGAAGTAAAAATTGTGAGTGCGTTTTTGCTAAAGTGAAGATACCAGATACTTCATCGTCACAATAAACAAAATTTTAAAAAAATAAAATAAATAACTTCTATTAAATAAATGTAAGAAGAGTGAAATAAAATCTTAAGTGAAAATAAGTTAAGATAAGTTAAGACATCAATTAACGGATGCGAAAATATTTCGTGTAGAAAAAAAATTAAATCATAACTGCAAACAGTAATGAAAAAGTAAGTGACATGCCGCTTTTATGAATCATCACAACAACAATTTGGAACAATCATCACAAACCCAACAAAATATCTTAAAGTCTAAACACTTCAACGTTGGCAAAGAGAAAGACCCGAGATTCGTCTATAAACACGTTCAGCGATTTTTTATCAACGACTCTCATATGCAAACAAAAACTATTCAGCGCAATACGCAACTAAAACAAAATAAAAAAAGTCACCAATACCCACTTCAGATCGCGAGTTCGTAGCGTCCATTCACGACGCTATGCACAGATTCCTGAACACCCACAGAATGTCCGCAAGGCATCAGTTGCTAGTTGCTCTCGCCATTCTTATTGCCACAGAGTTGCGATGCGTGAATGCCGCAACCGGTCAGGAATGCCACGGCAAGGTCTGTCATCCCATCGAAGAATACTGCTCTGATTTCAGTGAAGCCTGTGCTCCATGCGAGACAATCTGTGATGCTGCTTCACACAATTTCAATAAGGACGATTGTGCCAGAAAGTGTGCAGGTAAGAAAAGTTAAGATAGAATAGATGAAGAACAGAAATAAAATAAAAAAATATGTGAAAAATATAAGAAGTTAGTGAAGTAGGAAACTAGAAATATGTAGAAGGAAGCTGAAGAACAGAGAAGTTATTTACCTCAAAGTGTTCAATGACTAACGAGTTTAAAAGTATGTGGTAATCACTGAAACCAGAGAAGGGGAACTCTAGATTGTTGTTAAATTTTTGTTTTTTTTTTTGTTTTTTGGTAATAATATATGATAATAAAATAGAATATTTACGAGAGTTCACTTTCTATTATTTATTAGTATTATTTAATTTGTTGAAGGCTTGTGCGAAACAAAATACAAAACTATTAATTTTTTAAAGTTATTTTCTATATATATGTATATATATATATACTATATATACTATATATATATACTAACGATGTTTCGAAGTACATTTGACTACTTCCTTAGGATGGATGTTTATTATTATAACTCTACAACTCTGTATGGTAATTATAATATATTGTATTGTATAATATTATAAGGATCCATGATAGCGAATTTCATGTTCATGTGTTTAAGTGGACTCGATCCGCGATAAAGATCTGGTTTACTATAGCTTATTTCTGCCTTTGTATTTTTAATACGTTCATCTAAAGTGGGGTGCAGACTATCATACTGGTGTGTCATACGAGTTGAGCTCTCTCTTGCTCAAATTTCTTCTAGCGACCGAATTTGAACAGGTATGACACACAAGAGTAGGCAAAATTTTTGAAGAGTGCTTTTGCGGGTAATGTTGTGAAAATTTGTGTGTTTAAAATAAAATTTTAAAATTGAAAAAATTGATAGTTAACGTATAGGTTGTGCTTTGCTTATAATTGATTATAATTTTGTATATTTTATATATGCCGCGTTATATATATATGCTGCGATCTTTATATTCACATTTTTGGACATCCCACAAACAACGATTGCTTTTGTTAACATTCGATGAAAGCATCTCAAAATGCTTTATCTGCATCCATATTCATATTTTTTTTAGGTTTATTGGTCATTAAGCACAGTAGTTAAAATGAAAAGATCAGTAAAGGACCGTAGTTAATTTCATTCACTACCTGTAAAGTTTCTTAAGAAATTTTTCATAAATAGATCATACAAATAATGTATATATATATATACATAAGAATGTATATATCTTCATTGTTTTTGAAGAAATTTGATCATTTCCATATATTTGTTAGTTAAAGGTTATTAACATTTAAAATTCTTTTATTTTAATAACAAGTTTTAACAAAGAAAAGCATATTTAGAATACAAAGTATTATATCTTAAATTTGGGTTATTAATTAATTGTTATTACGACCAATTTTCAATATGTTTTTTTATTACTGGGCTTAGATCATAAATTTAACGATGTTTATATTTAGATATTTTTTTAAAAAAAATTTTACTTATAATCATCGTTTATAAATTAAAGTAAAATAAAATAAAATATTTAATAAACTAAATAAAATATTTAATATATTACATAAAATATTTAATTGTATTTTAATTTTTTATAAGAATTTTATGTAAAAATTTATTTTTTTTTTAACTAAGATACAATTAAATATTTAACACAAATTTATAAGTGTAATTTTAATAATAATAAATATAATAATAATAAATACATTAATAATAAAATAATAAAAAACATATTAAATTTATATTATAATTCTACATATTCCACCTGCTTATAATAAATTTGCAAGGCAAAAATGCTCTTGTATGACGTATGAATCGTTAGGGGTGACAGACTATCATACACAACGCGTATGCGAGAGCTGTTCACCAAAATTTTGGTGAGCACGCCAACACGTTGGTAAAGGTGGCAGACTATCATACCTGTATGTCATACGACGTTTTTCTCTCTCGTATGACATACCAGTATGATAGTCTGCACCCCGCTTAAAGTTAATAGGTGGTTCTTGTAAAAACTTTCTTTTGGGCTTTCTTCAACCATAGTTAGTTTATAAAGGGTTGGATAGTTGCTTTTGCTGATACTTAAGTACAAGATTCTTATCTTTACCTGCAGAAACCTGGTGGCGTGATGAGACTCTACCAGAATTTATAAGCATCATTTAGTGAGTTTTTGAAACCGTTTCCCTGCTTCTGATTCATAAAATAATATATCTGCTAATACGCAATGACTCTAATATGTGTTTAATTATTTTTAAGTTATGAAATTTTAGTAATACCCTAGATACATTCGTAGTGAAGCACATTTAGTTGTTTGAATATTTGAACTAACCAAAGGATAGGAAATCTTTGCTATCTTTGATTTAATAGATATAGTGTTATGATGCATTTATACTTTTAATTTTATTTTTTTTCTGATCTACAATCTTCAGATAAAACACATATGTTCTTATCATAACATATTGAATAACTCTGGAAATAAATATGATGTGTCATAATATATAGGTGATAAGCAGGATTTAATTAGATTTGAAGATAAACAACTTAAAGTTGATTCGTCATAAGAGTTCGTAGAAAACACATGTTATCATAGTTAGTTCTATAGATAAATGTGAAGAATTTGCTCGTACTTAACAATTAACTTCAGTGATTTCTTCACCTTCATGATTAAATAATTATTTATTATTGTTTTGACTGCTTGAATCACGATTTGTTAGTACGGCACATTGCATCATTTCACATTATTATTGCAATTTACTTATTTATAAATATTAAATAAAATTAATTATTAATTAATTAAATCAATTACTCTTGACTAATGTATTGGGAAGTTTAAAAATAAACTTCCACTTACAAAATGAGAAATAATTCTGGACTTTCCTTTTACTCATCAGATATTGCACATTATCGTAGACAGTCTTGGAATGGGAACTGAGTTTTTTGAATTTTTTTTTGTGGATTTTTAAACACCACCACTGGCTAGGTATATTTTTAGTTTTAATCCCTATTTTCGACTTTTTGGAAAAATTAAATCTTAATCCCTGATTTCAAAAGTCACCTACTAAAAGTTCTTGTAGGACCAACACATATAAAAGTGTCTATTGTGTTTTTCTTTGCCACCAAACTAAGTTCGTACATTTAATACATTTAGGTATTCTCTACGCAGGTAGAAGAATGGCACATTA